GTATTTAAAGCCAACGATCCAAGTGTCACTTCTAATTATAGACCAATTTCACTCATAAGTTGTATAGGTAAACTGTTTGAACGTGTGATATATAAGCACATCTACAATTTTTTGATTGAAAATGATCTTATTTACAAGTATCAGTCAGGATTCCTACCTAATCATTCCACAACTCATCAACTAATTGAGTTATATCACTCTATAATTACCTCCTTAGAAAAATTTGAACATTCTATTTTAATTTTTTGTGACTTTTCCAAGGCGTTTGACAGAGTCTGGTACAAAGGCCTTATATTTAAACTAAACAACTACGGTATTTCTGGATCACTTCTCCGATGGATAACCAGCTATTTGTCTAACAGAAAGCAGGCCGTCTTTATTAAGGATTCATTATCCTCGTTCAAGACTATTAATGCTGGCGTCCCTCAAGGTTCTGTACTAGGCCCTCTCTTCTTCTTAATATATATAAACGATATTTCACATAATCTTTCTTCTTTATCTAGAATTTTTGCTGATGACACTTCCCTCTCATATTCATCACAAGACTTAATCTATATTGAAAATGTAGCCAAATCTGATTTGAGGAAACTTGAAATTTGGTCCAAAGATTGGCTTATGTCCTTCAACCCTAAAAAAACTGAAGCAATGATTATCTCTAATCGGCAACTTCCTTTTATCCCATCCCTTACCTTTGATAACACCCCAATTCAAATTACAAATCAACACAAACACCTCGGAGTTATTCTTTCTAACGATGGTAAATGGAATGCCCATATTCAGTATATTCTAAGCAAAGTAACCAAATATGTAGCAACCCTCCGAAAGCTTAAACTTATTTTAAATAGAAATAATTTGGAAAAGTTGTATCTTACCTATATCCGTCCCTTACTTGAATATTCATGTGAGCTATGGGACAACTGCGGTGTAGTAAATTCTTTAATTCTGGAAAATATCCAACTAGAAGCTGCAAGAATAGTCACAGGGCTGCCCATATACACAAAAATAGATTTTTTATATCAAGAAACTGGATGGGTTCCTCTTTCCAAAAGACGAGAAGCTCGAAAACTTGCTCTATTTTTCACTATTATTAATAACACAGCACCGAATTTTCTAATAGACTTATTGCCAAATACTGTAGGAAATGCTACTCCTTATAATCTACGTAACAACCATTTACTCAGAGAACAGCCTCTTCGTTTACAACTATCACAACTTTCTTTTTTTCCTTCTACATCAAAACTTTGGAACGATTTAAATGTTACTATCAGAAATTCTCCATCCCTTAACTCATTCAAGAATAATGTTAAAAAATCCATACTAATAGATACTAATATCTGTAAAACTTTTGTAAATCATGGTCCTAGGAAACTAAGTATTCTTCATTGTAGACTCAGAAATCGAGCAAGTCCCCTAAATTATGACCTTTTTAGAGCCAATTTATTAGCTAGTGCTGAGTGCCGTTGTGGGCATCCCTGTGAAGATTCCTATCACTTCTTTCTAATCTGTCCTGTTTATGCCTATCTGCGTCGATCTCTATTAACAGAACTAGCATGGTTTGAAGGTAATATTACAATAGATCTTCTATGCAAAGGTGACCCGAATATATCTGATGTTAACAATGCAAAAATTGCAAAGGCTGCACAGCATTTCCTCAACAGGTCGGGTAGGTTCGACTGATATATAATTATACTTCTATATACAAAATAAGGAGTTTCTCTCTCTCTCCCTCCCCCTCTTTTCCCGTCTCTCCCCCACCTCTCTCCCTCTACCTCTCGCCTCTCTCTCTCCCTCTCTCTCATTATCAATATTATAACTTAAGTGGCTATTCAATTAGTTTTTTTCATCTCTTGTGTATGATACGCATTCATTTATATATGCCACCATGTGACTTGTTTTTGTACTATATTGTATATATATTGTTGGGAGAAGTCGTCTATAAGTTGGCAAAACTTACTGACCAATCCCTTTGACTTTTCTTTGTCAATAAAATATGTTTAAACTAAATTGGGTGGTGATTAAATGATTATCGTCTCTCGCGATAAAAACACCAGCTGGCTGCTTGGCAGTATATGTATCACATGATTGTAAACCTGATCGATGATGATGATGATGATGATGATGATGATGATGATGATGATGATGATGATGATGATATTTTCAGTGTCCGTCAAACTCCGGGCTACGCCGGATTCGTACCCAGAGCACCACCAGAAGGACAAATGGAACGAAAGTTGGAGGGTGCACACATGGTCAGCACAATGAAAGCCACTTATAGGTACATCCTCAGACTGTCTTTAAGCTTAATGGCATTGAAGTGTTTCTTATATCGCCCTTATTTAGTTTGGTCTTTGGCTATTAGTTGACTGTGTCGGCATACAGCCTCGTTTTCGAACGACTTTTGACGTCGCCATGCTTAAATAGGTGATACGAAATCGAAATTTCCAATGACTGAAGAACATGCCATCATTTAAAGAAGATGATAAAAGTATCCTCTCGTACAAGTTATCTATTTTTACGATCGAAATCTTGAAATTGTTTATCAAAAGTATAATCCGTCACAATGTCAGCACAAAATGGCATTTTGTTATTTATTGACATTTCAGAGAACTGCCAGCGACGACATATCAGAAACAGATGAATGCCAGGAAGGGGCCATTTTCCAAAACGGTGACCTTGACCTATCCATTTAACCCCTACAACAAGGTCGTCCAGCGATGCGTTATGACGGAAAGTCATCTTAAGTAACGTCACGGAGCTATTGAGAGAGATTAAAAGCAATAGGAATACATCATTTTATAAGATAACAAAAATTCAAAAATGGGTGTTTCAATTTTATCTTTTTAAATATCATATAATCATGTCAGAACTGGAATGTTCATATTGTTTTATCAATTGTTAACATATAATGAAGAATAAAACTGAAGACATTTTACAGCAATGCCCTTATTCTTGATTTCTATATATGCCTAAAATTACAACAAGGCCGTTGTTTTGCGATGATCAAATAGATTTTACATAGCATTTCGTATGTTTGAAAACTTTAATAGATTGTCGTCCTTGTGGGAGTCATGCCGCGGAATTTCGCATGAATAGTGGATAATTCCTTTTCACTCTCGTGAGTGGTCCACGTGTGTATTCATAAATTCTACAGGTGAATCATTCTCGTTTAATTAACTAATTAGAAACATTATCTATCTTACGTTCTGATATTATTTTTCTTATGATGGTAGCGTTTGGACGGAGACGTAGACGGGGGTGCTGAGCCAATGAATCATTGAACTCACTTTTAATAGTGTCTATACTCCCGATGGATTAGCAGTTATGCCTTTAAAATGTATTAGAAGAAATCTACCAATCAACAGCGTCTTAATAACACCTATTATTGTCAACGTCACAATGCCTCTCAACTTCCGGCAGATTTTGAAAACAAACGTCGAATTATGAAGTCGAGAAGTTTCGCCAAGTTTACATCTCAGAAGGGTTTCGGACGGGCAGATGGACTTTCAATAGGGTTTGTGTGTGGCCGAACACTTCAAGAGTGCGACAATGTCAAATTGACAATAGAGAAAATTGGGACATTTTATGCTGCCTCGGACATCGTAACTCTCACCATTTCTCTGTACGACTCGACCGGAAGTCTGCTGACCTTAGATAAGGTTGCGCACAAGTATCTCGCCAACGTGGCCAGTATTTCTGCCGAGTACCAGGAAGACGAGTGTTATCCTCACTGTCACATGAACACAGATTTCAGAGAAAGAAAGACGATAGAAAAATCTGTCGTAATGTCCGAATGTCGCCATATCATCAGCTTTCTCCGGAAACACTCAGACCGTTTTAAATACTTGAAAACAGTAACCTTTGTTTGCTGTCATTGTATCAATATACCAGATGACGTTGCTTTCCTTTTACGTATGTCCCCAGAGCTGACGTTGATCCAGAAGCTTGACCATACAGGGACAGGTCCAGTGTTTGACCTGTCCGAGAAGCCGTCAAACCATGGTTACACACCATGGAGATACCGCGCAAGCCTGACCATCGAGGCCGGGCACTAATAATGTGAATCGCAAAGTCATCTCTACTGCTCACGGATCAGATATTGTGATGACGAGGATCGAAAAACATAGCTATGTAAACAACAACTCTAAAACAAACTAATTATGTAGATATGATCACATAAATTTTAATTACATCAATTAGTTAATTAAATTATATACATCTGCATCACTGGTACAAGTTATATCACTCTTTCTAATATATTAACTCTATCTGATTTCTGTAGTATCAATATCACTATGAAATAACGATTTAAAAAATAACCTCTTCCTACGGCATCAGGTAAGCGGAGTTGTCGGCTACAAGTTATGGACTAAGAAACACTCGAAGCTACCATATGCGTGGGGACAGATATACACAACGTGTATTATGATAAAATTGGTCCTTTACACTCACAAATAAATACTCTAAAACAATCAACATAAAACAGTTTCTATGAATTTGTTACGGGACTGGACAAAGTAAACCATCAGCGACTAGGCAGCTCAATTGGTAAAGAGTCTGTCTAGAGTTTGGAGGGTTCCAGGTTCGATCACCGGTCAATCCGAGTATTCTGCTTCTAATGCATTTGGTGCTTGTGACCAATTTAGTAACCCTTGTTTCAAGTAAGTGAATGCTTGTCAAGGAGATAACAGATTCTAGGCTGTAAATAGTTGTGCCTTGTGGTACGGGCGAAGACGAAGGAAAAGAGAGAGGAATATAGGGGAACTTGAACGGACCGATCATCAACAACCATATAGTTAAATTTCATATTAGATTTTGGAGTTTTGGAGAGTTCCAGGTTCAAACCCCTGTCTGCCAGGTCTTGCCTTTTTCTCGCCTATAAACAAGATATTAGGTTATCCATCATTTTCCCATACCTAAGTATTCGCGGTATAGTAATATAAATGTGTCTGGTTATGATTTTTAGTGAATGTTAGTAAGTAAAACAGAAACTTTTTAAAAAGTTAAACTGAGGACGTAGCGATTTCCACGTTCTCGACTGGAGTCGTGCATCTAGAGGTGTCCACCTCTGTGCCCAAATGTGTAACGGTCAATTGCGAGCCGTACCGTGATCCACAGGAGTTTGAAAGCATCTGATTTTCTTCACCCAATCTAAATTGTGAATCGAAAAGGTTCAACTCGTCCATAGAATCGTAACGATTCAATTCATTCCGTGAACCGAAAGGACTTGGTTGTACCAGTTTCAACCCTTTCTGTGAACAGGAAGGACTAGGCTGTACCGGTCTCTGTATTTCCAACCCTTTTTGCGAACAAGAAGGACTTGGTGGTGTTTGACCCTGCATTTTCAACCCTTTCTTTGAACAGGAAGGACTTGGCTGTATCTGGCTCGGCATTCCCGACCCTTTCTTTGAAGAGGAAGGACTTTGCTGTTTCCGATTCTGCGCATTCCTTATTTCAACCTTTTGTATAACTTCATCACTAGGACGATGGTTAAAGAAAAACGATGGCCCAGCTTTCGTCTCTTCTCTTGTGTACTTCTGAAACTCAGGGGGAACTTGAAGAAAATTGTCGCTCGTAAATTCTCGTAAAATAATTGGCATGTCCAATGATAAGTTGTCATATCCCAGTGAACGAGATGACGTCACACTAACTGAATCTAGATCGATTACGCAAAGTTCTTGACCTCCGATAGGTGTTGACTTTTCAGGAGGGAAAGAAGTTATTTTTGCGATATAGAACGCAAAGAATGCGATGAATGGTGACAGGACGCAGCCAGCGACGGCGATGTAATATCCGAAATCCAGTCTGGACCCATGACGTGGATAACTCGTGTAGAACAACACTAGAGTTAGCATTGTAAACACGGCTGTAAAAAATACAACAAATGTTAGAAGTGTGTAAATAATATAAACGTTTATCCTTCAACCGATGCTACCATTGTCGGAATACACCTGCCACATTTATTTTGCTGTATTCGTTAGTGAAGGAAAACAGTTGTATGTTAACACGTGCAGTAATTCGGCATATTACGTTTAGAAATGTAAATAGTTGTTGCGATACGCGATTTTACATGTTGTAATGGACATGCTGATTTATAAAAATTTGTAAATCGCGCTTATATCCGATGAGGTTTGAAATTATGATTCTGTGCGGAGCAATTATTTTGGCATCCGTCATCAGGCAAAAATCAGCGTAACGTCAATGTCAGGGAAACACAGCTTGAACAACAAATCTGTTTGTTTCATTAGTCTGATTTTCAACCAATGTAGCAGAATAAATAGAATACATGGTCAGTGTCTTAAAATAGAAGCTGTAATTTGGCTCGGGACAGAAAGACAAAAGTGACTCGCCAGGGGCTCACCACTTTTGTCTTTCTTCACCCTCGCCAAAATACAGCTGCCATTTTAAGACACTGACCGTGTATTCTCTATGCACATGGGACGCGGCTTTGCTATAACGACCTATTCTTTACGTGATATTACCGTACAAAACGGACGCTAGTACATTAGCACTCACTAACTGATTAAAACGGATTCGCCATTTATGTTGTATAATAAGTATGAAATTTTAATATAACGTTCCTGTATCTTTCTAGGACACGTAAAGGTTGTTAAGACCCAAAATTGTGATAAATCAAAAGCCAAGATGTAAAGAGACCAAAATCGTCCGGAAAATCGTCAGAATATAGAAGGGGTACACCAGAGCCGCTCATAATAGTAGTTTATTTCAATATTTAATTTGACAATTGAGCATTCTAAAAAGTAAAAGCGATAAGCGTTTGAACTCTAAACAAGTGTTATGCCACTGTTCATCTGGATTACAGAATTCAGTTACAGGACTGAAAGACAAACAGCTTGGATTGGAAACGGAAGTTGTCTCCCTTCCGACGTTGCATTATTATAAACGGTCGCTTTCACGTTAGCGGTTGAAACGTTTGGATCGGCTGACGCGGAGAAACGTCAGGTTCAGATCGGAACCGATGCCAGACTGCAGGATATTCGATACATGGCGTTTTAGTGGTAAGACGTACTGTACTTGTTTCGAACAGTCGTTTTCAGAATTTCTGCATAAAATAGGGTCAGTGCGGCCAAATATTTCCGGAAATGTTATGATATTAAGTACGGTATAAAATTAAACTATTTCATTCGTTTATTTGTTTAACGGGAAATTCTAAAACTGCATTCTGAGCTTTATATGATACGGATGAATTCACTTATCATGGAATAATGCCATCTATCTGAACTGTTTCAACCGGGGCACGCGAAAATAGCATTAAGCTACATTACAAACTGACACATTCGTCTAAAACGTGAAGCTGGAAGTGTTAAGACCAAAATTGATTCTTACCCGTTACTAAGGCTAACGCTGACGCTGCATACAACAGTGGGCGTTTCCATGGGCGTGGCCAGCAGAAGACGATACAACAACAAACAACACAGGAAAAGTACGTGATTAGTCCAAGTATTCCAAACGCTTGACTGGCCATAAACGTTTCTGTGAACAAACACACATGCTACTTAGTGATATATAGTGATGGACATTTAATGAATACTAAGGGGACTGATTTCTGCCATTACGTTGTTACGTTTGGTCACCCCGGCAAAACAATAATCATAGTACACCCTTCCCCTGCTAATTACCCTCATTTTGCAACGACATAACGAAAAGACGCCAAAACATTTGCTGAGCGAAGTATGTCGCCCTTCTCTTTATCGTCTTTTCGAAAAGACTGTGATTATTGGGGAGATATCGAACTCATTTGTTTTGGGTTTTTTTTTTCAAAAGGGTAAAATACAATCCCATATATATATATTCCTGTGAACTCTTTATCAGGTGGTGTACACGTCAGAATTAATTCCGTTCATTAACCAGTAATCAACCTTTAGGGTCACCCCTTTCATTTGCATATGGCCCACATTGATAATTTATATCAGGTGGTTTCGAGTTAGCGTCTCGACAAATTTCCCTTCTCTTTTCATTAACATCCTGCGATGGCGGAATCTTTCTTTTTGACGTCTTAAAAAGGACGAAACTAGCGACAATCATGAGTTTGATCGACAGTGTCCATCATGAGTTACCACGATTGCAGACAATAGATTTTGGTTCTAACGAAACAATGCGATTGCTGGGGTGGGTGGCCGGGGTGATTAGTGACTTGTGGCTTCGTACCGTTCATGTCGCCTGGGTCCATCGTTCCACATGCCTGTTGTTCACTGCGCACGATACAAGTAGAAAACAATCCATAATAATGTCGATACCCTCCGATAATGTAGTTTACCCAGTTAGGTAACAGGAAGCCAACAAGGTCAGTGACAAATCCACACAGACAGAGCGCGAAACACAACTTCCGGTATATGATCTGCATCCGGTGGCTGACTGCCATGTCGGTTGTGAAAGATTCTACAAGTGGAAAAAAGTCAAATATTATGCATACAAATTAAATAAAGAATATATTATTCTGTAGATAACCGATTGCTATCCATACGTAAAATTTTGAGAACACCCGATGTGCTTTCCGCCCCGCTACACATTTAAAATATTTCCAATTCTAAATGGCGGATCATGCTTCTCGCATTAGCTTAAGTTAAATATATGTAAATAAGGATTAAAAATCCATGGTTATACATGTACTAATAAAATAAGGAAACTTAATAATAACTAAAAGAAGTATATTTTGTCGATACCTCGATGAACTGTTCGTCAGAAGTACATGTACGTGTATCATATTTGAATTTTCTGCAATATTAACTATCAAACAGAAAAAAAATCAAAACACACACAAAACTGGAGAAACAAAAAACAAAAAAACCCCACTATAATGAGCACTTCTTAAATGATTAATTAAAGAGGAAATGAGACACGTCATACGATATTCAGGGATATTGTGAATTGTTTCAAAATCTAAACCAAAAGAATTATTGAAATTCTTCAGAAGAGAAATAAAAGAAAATGGTTACAAATGATATTTTAAAAGCGCGGGACATAGAGAATTTTGGCACTCACTAAGGAGGGCAAAGGTTCGATTCTCTTAATAGACGGTCACGTGCCCGAACAATATACACAGGGGAACGGGATATTACGTTTTCCTTTCACTGTAAGACCCCCCCCCCTCCCCCCTCCCTCCACTCCCCATTCACGCTTAGATGTGGTTAATTGTTGTGAAATACGAAAATCATATCAATATATTTATTTGGTGTTTTGTCCGTATGTATACTACTGATGAGAGAGCCAATATTTAACTTATTCTTTTTAGACACTTTAGAAAAATTGTGTTAACCCATGTTATTTTTAACCTTTCATTTCTCCATGGATCATATCTGTTTGTCAGTTATAAGCAGAATCACATACACATGTTCAATACTGAGTAATACTCACTTTGTCGCTGATATCTTATATATTACTCAATGCATTATATTCCCATGTTGATCTTGCTTAAATTCCGAGTAAAACAAAACAAATTCACACACCTGTTTAGAAATCGAACTGTTTCATCTAGAAATAGTTTTATATATAGCCAACGAGTTAAACGGGTGTTATCAGTCACGCCTGATTAATCAGCTGATTTAAACCCGGATGTACGTGAGAGACAGGAGATGAATAGATGTATGTCGTTATGACGCTTACTAAGTTTAAATATTTAAAAGGATAGAGTATTTCATTGGAAGTAGATTGAATTATCTTCAAAGAAAATCGTGTGAACGTATGTCCTAAACACTAGTATGCCTTTCGAGATTAGAATTACCAGCGGTCTACGTATTCAGTATTGTCTGATGTTAATGTAAAAATCCATGCAATTTATATTCAGTTGGGCATTTAAACACATTGAAATTCATAGCAGATATGTATATAAGTATACATATTTACCCTGTACGGTGACCAATATCCCAACTTCATAGAACTGGTGTTTTGATATAAATTCACTAACAGTGTTATATCAAGATAAAATACCATTCCAGCCTCTACCACGTTTGACAGTTAATTATAATTTATAAATGTTGTGGAAATTTGAATTCTTCTACAAAAAGTCATTGTTTTAGAGTGGGAATAGATATACAAAATAAATAGTGTATATCTCCAATCTGACAATACGTTCAACACAAAGAACGATCAACAAATCAGGTGTTATTAACTTCCGTGACAAACAACACGTCACTGCTGTCGGTTTCGTTGAAACATGTTTCAAAATCGATGACGAGAACTTGTTTACACGATGTTCACTGAGCGTGTCGCCGTTCCTGCTATTATAGCAACTATATGTTAGATTTGACAAATTATGTACTTTTAAACTGTTAAGGTGAAGTTAAAGAAGACGAGTTATATTTCAGTTTTAAATGTCCCTTTTACAAAGATATCAGACGTTAGTAAATAGAATTGTAATATTTCAGAAAACTTAGTGTTTTCGAATTGGTAATGATACTCGGTGTAGATAACATTAAAGAACTTTTTTATTTATGAAACTGCGTATGTATATCCATCTACAAACTTCAGAGATAAAAACGTCTCTTTGTACATTCCATTTTTCTGGTGCATTTGTGTGTATTGTATGTCATTATCAATTGTGTTTTGAAACATGGCTATCAATAACGTTTGGGCTGATTGTCTCTCCATCAATCTGTATGTGGTATTTTGGCCTAAGAAAATAAAAGAAGCGAAGTGAACTGGATACCTATTTACAGGACCATTGAAAATAGTACAAGGAGAATAATACCAGGTGATCTTAAGAGTAACATCGACAACATGGTCATTCTTGCAAACTATTCCAGATAATGTGAGGTTCTATAAATGAGAACAACGAAACAATGAAAGCCGAACAATCATCGAACCTCCAGACATACTAACGATCATCGAACCACCAGACATACTAACGATCATCGAACCACCAGACATACTAACAATCATCGAACCACCAGACATACTAACGATCATCGCACCTCCAGACATACTAACGATCATCGAACCTCCAGACATACTAACGATCATCGAACTACCAGACATACTAACGACCATCGTACCACCAGACATACTAACGATCATCGAACCTCCAGACATACTAACGATCATCGTACCACCAGACATACTACCGATCATCGAACCTCCAGACATACTAACGACCATCGAACCACCAGAAATACTAACGATCATCGAACTACCAGACATACTACCGATCATCGAACCTCCAGACATACTATCGATCATCGAACCACCAGACATACTAACGATCATCGAACCACCAGACATACTAACGATCATCGAACTACCAGACATACTAACGATCATCGAACCACCAGACATACTAACGATCATCGAACCACCAGACATACTAACGATCATCGAACTACCAGACATACTAACGATCATCGAACCATCAGATATACTAACGATCATCGAACCACCAGACATACTAACGATCATCGAACCACCAGGAATACTAACGATCATCGAACCACCAGACATACTAACGATTATCGGACCACCAGACATACTAACGATCATCGGACCACCAGATATACTAACGATCATAACTGGAACGATCATCGAACCACCAGACATACTAACGACCATCGAACTACCAGACATACTAACGATCATCGAACCACCAGACATACTAACGATCATCGAACCACCAGACATACTAACGACCATCGAACCACCAGACATACTAACGATCATCGAACCACCAGGCATACTAACGATCATCGAACCACCAGACATACTAACGATCATCGAACCACCAGACATACTAACGATCATCGAACTACCAGACATACTAACGATCATCGAACCATACTAACGATCATCGAACCATCAGGAATACTTACGATCATCGAACCACCAGGCATACTAACGATCATCGCATCACCAGACATACTAACGATCATCGAACCACCAGACATACTAACGATCATCGAACCACCAGGCATACTAACGACCATCGAACCACCAGACATACTAACGATCATCGAACCACCAGACATACTTACGATCATCGAACCATCAGGAATACTAACGATCATCGAACCACATCGAACCACCAGACATACTAATACATCGAACCACCAGACATACTAACGATCATCGAACCACCAGACATACTAACGACCATCGAACTACCAGACATACTAACAACGAACCACAAGACATACTATCATCGAATCACCAGACATACTAACGATCATCGAACCACCAGACATACTAACGACCATCGAACTACCAGACACACTAACGATCATCGAACCACCAGACATACTAACGACCATCGAACTACCAGACATACTAATGATCATCGAACCACCAGGCATACTAACGATCATCGCACCACCAGACATACTAATGATCATCGAACCACCAGACATACTAACGACCATCGGACCACCAGACATACTAACGATCATCGAACCATACTAACGATCATCCACCAGACATACTAACGATCATCGAACCACCAGACATACTAACGATCATCGAACCACCAGAATACTAACGATCATCGAACCACCAGACATACTAACTTTCATCGAACTTACAGTACTACTTACGATCTTCGTTCCCTAAGTTATACTAACGATCATCGAACCACCAGACATACTAACGATCATCGAACCACCAGACATACTAACGATCATCGAACCACCAGACATACTAACGATCATCGAACCACCAGACATACTAACGATCATCGAACCACCAGACATACTAACGATCATCGAACCACCAGACATACTAACCATCCCAGACATACTAACGATCATCGAACCATCAGATATACTAACGATCATCGAACCACCAGACATACTAACGATCATCGAACCACCAGGAATACTAACGATCATCGAACCACCAGGAATACTAACGACCATCGAACCACCAGACATACTAACGATCATCGAACCACCAGACATACTTACGATCAACGAACCACAAGACATACTAACGATCATCGAACCACCAGGCATACTAAGGATCATCGAACCACCAGACATACTGGCAATCATCGAACCACCAGACATACTAACGATCATCGAGCCATCAGGCATACTGGCAATCATCGAACCACCAGACATACTAACGACCATCGAACCACCAGACATACTAACGACCATCGGACCACCAGACATACTAACGATCATCGAACCTCCAGACATACTAACGACCATCGAACCACCAGACATACTAACGATCATCGAACCATCAGGAATACTAACGATCATCGAACCATCAGGTATACTGACTATCATCGAACTACCAGGCATACTAGAGATCATCGAACCATCAGGCATACTGACGATCATCGAATCACCAGACATACTAACGATCATCGAACCACCAGACATACTAACGATCATCGAACCACCAGGAATACTAACGATCATCGAACCACCAGGA